TCCCTCCGACTAGGTAGCATGTACGACTCACACGTTTTAATTTTATCAAATTTATATCTCCTAAGTCCTAACTATAATTTTAAATATAATTTTCAACTTTTAGCAGATTTTTATCTCCTAAATATTATTTTCGAATTTTATCAAATTTATATCTCCTAAATAATATTTTAAAAAATATTTTTTTCGAGTTTTATCATGTTTTTATTAGTTTTTTATCTCCTAAATATTATTTTCGTTTTTTATAAGATTATTGTCTCCTAAATATTATTTTCGATTTTTATCAAATTTTTATCTCCTAAATATTATTTTAAATAATAATTTTGATTTTAATCATATTTTATCTCCTAAATATTATTCTAATTATTATTTTCATATTTTATCAACTTTTATCTCATTAACATTATTTGAAATATTATTTTCGATTTTTTATCAAATTTTTATCTCCTAACTATTATTTTAAATTTTATTTTTGATTTTTATCTCCTAAATATTATTTTTTGATTTTTTTATCAAATTTTTATCGCCGAAATATTATTTTAAATATTATTATCGATTTTCATCAAATTCTCCTAGATATTATTTCTAATAATCTGATTTTCGATTTTTACAGAAAAGGGTAAATAAATCTGATTTTCATCCCTAGCGGATTTTGTGACATCGTTTTACAGAATGTCTGCAACATTTGAATTTTATTTCTTCCCTACCTAAGGCTTCTTCTTTTGGTAACCCGACTTTAGATTTTGTTTCTTATCTTCTTCTTCATCCTATTGCATGTGTGGCAATTAGTTTACATTTTTTTCCATCATGGCTTATAGGTAATTTCATTTTGTTAAATTATGTGTTTCATTAATTTATACCAAAGTTTTCAAATTTTATGTATAACAATTATTTCATTTTATATGTTATTGGACATGTTATTGAAAGGGATGATTTGAGAAAATTAACCAAAAATGGGCGGAGCCACAAGCTATTGGAAGTCGACCTTCAAGACTTATTGTTTGTATGCGATATTTAATTTATTGTTTATATTTATTTTTGTTTCTTAATTTTCCAATTGTTAATTTCAGTGGCAAAACAACCTTAAAATGAGGCAGTGGAGAAGGGCTTAGTTCCGATGCAAGATGTATAGATGGCCTTTTACGATGGTATGTTGTCGATAGTTTAGTTTTGATTATGTTAACTTAGTTATTAAATCTAATTACTTTTAAGCTCAACATGGAAGACATAATTGATGATTTTTTTCCTGGTTCAAATTTGCAATCTACTGGTATTAGCTGATTCAATTCATTTGGAAAATTATTCAACAGTAAAGTTATGTCCTTTTTTTTTTGTGTGTAGTATACTTAATAATGTTCCAGTATAATAGAATTTTGATCATACGATACATCAAACGTTTGTTTATATTCTTACAACATCAAAAGAATGCAATTTGTTGTCCCGTGCATCGCACGGGTACAATTACTAGTTAGGTTAATTTGAATAGGTGTGGGGTAATATGGGCATAACAATTAATAATTTAATAAAATATTAGATTTAATTATGATGTAGGGGGTTATCACTAATAAAGTAAAAGGGGGTGAATCCCCTTTAATATATCCTAATGTATTGGGGGGTTTTCACTAATAATCCCTTTATAATATGGCATATAAAAAAAAAAAAAAGAAAAAAAAAAGAAAAGAAAAAAGTAAAAATGCAAATACCCAGCTAAAAATATTTCGACCTCAGTACAAGCTAAGAGAGTTCAATACTAGTATACCTAATAAGGAATTATTTGGTAATATATATATTGTGTATGTATAATGATTAGGTTTGGTAGGGACTGGTTATTACGTGGAACTTAACATAGTACAAGTTGCATTGATCATGATTATGTAGTCAAAGGCTGCATTAATTACAATCAGTACGTACGTGGTGAAAAGGTTTATACCCATGGCAGTAATTAATTAAAGCCTGCTTCTATATTCAGACCCACCTCACCTTTTGTTATTGAAATACAGTTTGCACCCCTAAAGTATACCCTCTGTAACACTTACCCCCTTAAAGTATCATTTGTAACACTTACCCCCCTCAAGCACAATTTAATTTGTATTTTAAATGTTAATAGCTTAAAAAAATATTTTATTGAAAGGAATAACTAAAAGAATAATGAAATTATACAACTAAAAATATCTGTTGAAAAATACAATATTTAAAAATTGAAAAATATTATCTTGCATTGGATACTTATTCAATAAATAACATCTAATTGTTGTTGGACCAACTAATCAAAAATACTCTATCGATTTATAACTTTAAGAAATCAATACATAATTAATATAAATATTAAGTATTTAAATTTATTTTAGTTCATTAATTTTTTTAAATATATTTTCATTCATTAGTACTCAATATATATTACTTTTTAATTTTTTTTTCAACAATTAATTTTAGTTACTTTTCAATTTTCTATGAACCGTTAATTATTAGATTGTTATGTTTATTATTTTAAAATTTTAAAATATAAAATAATTGATGTTGAGGGGGGTAAGTGTTACAAATGATACTTTAAGGGGGTAAGTGTTACATGAGCTATACTTCAGGGGTGCAAAGTGTATTTAACCCTTTAATTTATATATACACACACATGCACATTTAACTTGCAATTGAAAAGGGTATTTATTCTTTTTGTGAAAAACAATTTTTTTTTTCTTTCTGATTTTACATAATTACATTTTCTTAAAACATTATACATAGAGGCTAGGAAATTTCATTTGTGCCCTCACATTTTTTTTTTATAAATAATTTGGACACTGTATCTACTTTAATTTGGTCATTTTTCTTTAATTTTTTTTAAACAATTTTCTCCCTAATTTAATAATAAATAATATTTAGAAAAATGACCGAAGTGAATTATTTTCCCCAGTACTTTTTCAATTAAAAGAATTAATTAGCAGCTCAAAATAATAATAGATGAAAATATCTGGGGCTCTGAATTGTAGGATGTGACTTGTGAGAACAACTCTCTCAGACAACATAATTGCAATCATTTCCCCCATTTTCTTTTTCCTTTTTTCTTTATTTTATTCGTAAATTGTGTTTGAACTTAATTTAATTAGAAATTATGTGGAGCTCTAACAAAATTTAATTGAACAAAATTTGAATCGAACTCGAGTAACTTGATTTGATTAATATATCTTATCACTCATTTTGTAGTTGAATTAACTATGCTCGAGCAGAGACCGCTCGAGTGAGCTTTAATCAAGCTCAATTACCTTGATCTTTGATTACACATTTTATTATTATGTTCAATTCGAGTGCGAGTCAAACTTCATATCTTATATAAAAAATGGGACTCCAACAACTTTTAATTTGTTGTCGTATTACTATACAATTCAATAAAGAAAAAGAGCAGCCTGAATAATGGAGAGAAGCCCTTTTGAAATTAATCTACAGTAACAGTACTATATATTACCCAACTCGTCTATATTCAAGGGGTGGAAATTGTAGCGCAACTTTCGAATTCTGTAAATTTCGATTAGAAAATTTATGGTTTTAGATCAATATTTTTAATCCGAAGTTCAAACATTTTTCTTTTAAACTTTTATAGTTTTGATCAAAGTTGGAGTATATCGCCGATACAATTACAATCTTGGAACATTTTTTTTTCACTGATTCCAAATTTTCAAATACATATCTCCGATTCTATTTATTTCGAACGCAACTAAACTTGTTTCTCACTTCCGAAAAAAAAATCGGGTTTTTTTCGGTAAGTCTTGGTTCCATTCCGATTAATCTGATTTCCAACCCTAATTAAGATTCCAAATTCAACTTAAGACAACAATTATATATCAGTTAATAGAAAATAGAATCACATAATTTGTCTCGATCACATAGATTAAAAACACCAAAGAAAACATTCTTCCAACACACTATTTTAAAAAAAAAAGACTACAACCCAAAACGTACACCACGAAACTGTAAACATAAAATAGAAAGAGAAACGAAGCATTTCATAGGACTACTAATAATAATTTAATTAAATAGTTATCCAAGGGATATTTATAGCATAACAAAAAAAAAAAAAAAAAAAAATAGAAGGAATAATTATGCTAATTTCTCTCATCCCTCCACATTTCCAAAAATTATGACTACACTCGGTGAAATATACACCACACAAACATCCACCATTCGTTCACACACGGATACACACAGTTCCGTGTGTGAACGAATGATAAACATATATATAAAATAATAATATATAATATATATACCCGCACGTACGACAAATGCAGGTGTAGCATAAAATAAACCGTCATCTCACGTGTTTCCATAAAAGTACTAGTACTACTCGCGAGAACTATACGGATCGTTATTATCTTGCTCAATCTCGGAAGCAGCTTCTTCTTCTTCTTCCTCCTCCTCTTCGAAACAATCGACACCGTAAGCGCCGTGCCCATTCCCGAAGGCTTTGATATGGTCCTTGAGAGATCTCTTGTGCTTGAAATCGGAGCCGCATGCGCAGTACCATAACTTCCCGCAATTCTTTTCGTGCGTTCTCCAATCGCCCCTTACGGCAAATGCTTTGCCGCATTTTCGGCACATGAATGGCTTTATTCCGTGTTTTCGTTTGTAGTGGGTTTGTAGGGTCCGGAAATCTTTGAGGGGTTTGGATCTCGGGTGGTCGATGTGATTCCTACACCCGGGTGCACAACAGTAGCATGGAAGCCTCAGCATCGCCGTTGGCTGCGTGCCTCGTAGAGATTCCGGCCCTTTTCGGTATTGGGATCCGTGCCCCCACATGTGCATCTAAAAAAACCCGAATCGAAGATGGTTAATGTGAAGATAAATAAAAATAAAGGTTTTTTAGAAATTCAGGAACAAGATTATGCAAAGTACATAATTAAGTCGTGGGTTCTTATATTTGGGTTTAATTTTATTCCTACGTTTCAAAAATTATATGCCCGCCCGTTAAGGTTTCGGCACAAGTAGGAAATATTCCAAATTTTTTTCGGAAATAAACACTAATATATATTGTACTAACATAATTGGGAAAAAAATCGAAAATTGGAATTAGAAGACTTGTTCCAAAATTGAAAATTTTCAGATCGAAATTGACGGAATCCAGAATTTTCATTTTTTTAGTACCCTAAAATATAAAATACGTAATAATATTGATAACATATAGAAGTGTAATTTTCATAAATTCAAATTGGATTGGAAATCGGAATCTAATACGTATTCCAATTTTGTTCCACAAAAATCGGAAATCGGAGCTTCAAGAATGAAGAATGTTATTAGTCCAAAATTGGAAAAAAAATTCAGATCGGAGTCGGTGGAATTCGGGAATTTCATTACAATTTCGAGCCCAAAGCACAAGTATAAATAAAAATAAGCATGAATTTTAGGATAAAATGCACTTCACAAACTAAAATACTCCCTATTATGAGGGCAAAATTGAGAGAAAGAAAAAATGCATTAAATGCATCATTGGAATTATAAAATGAATTTAAAAAAAAAAAAAAAAACAAAAAACAAAAGAAACAATAATAAATTGGAAATAGTAAAAGGTGATAATGAAGAAGAGAAGTGGATATAAACAGTGATGATTTGTGGTCTGAGTTTGCGAATTACGAGGAGGGTGTGATCTTACAATATAATCAAGATTCAAAAGTGTAAAAATTCCTTTGAAATCTTCATCATTGCAGAAAAAAGCAATGACAAAGCAGCAGCAGCAGCAGCAGTACTGTTTCGATTTCCCATGTAATAAGATCGATGATGTACCAATTTAATTTAATTTAATTAAATTAAATTTGATGAGAGAGAAAGAAAGAAAAAAAAAAATCAGTAAATTGGCAGAAAGAAAGTGATGAAAATGTATGAGTTGAAAACACCTGCTGCAAATTAAAGGTGAATTAATTAGATCACAAACTTCAAGGCCACACAGAAAGCATATTGCTTTGTGTTGTTCAATCAATTATATTATAGAGGTCAGTCTGCCCAGGTTAGGTTTTTATGCAGATCCCCAAAATAAAATAATCATAAAGAAAATCGAAACTAAATAAACAAATATATTATTTTTTGCACTGTGGCATATATAAAAAATAAAAATTAAAAATTAAAAAAATTAAAAAAATCTAATTAAGAACCCTAGCTAAATAAAACAGATAGCAAACACACATAGATAGATATGTGTGTGTATGTGTGTGTGTATATGTGTACCTGCATGTTGTTGTATCTGCTGAAGGTCTTGAAGCAAAGAGGGCAAGAAAACTGGGTAGGGCCGATCAGAATCTGGGCCGGAGTTGGGATCCAGTACTGCCCTTTATTCAGTGGGGTTGCAGCAGCTACAGTTACTTCTTCTTTACAATTGTTTTCAGTACTGCCGTCGTCGTCGTAATTCACCACCCGCCGCCGCCTCGAAATCAGGTCAGTAGTAGTAGTAGTGGTACTCAGAGTACTACAACAATTAACAGGAGGAGACAGCCCTAAATTCAGATCTTCTTCCTCTTGTTGTTCGTAATTGTTTTTCACGTTCATGTCCAAATCCATACATCCGCTGTACGATGATGAAGGTGGTTCTTCCTCGGCGGCGGCGGCGGCGGAAGAAGAAGAAGAAGCCATTGATGTCGGTTTCAGACTGATGAGCGGGAGAGCCTCCCTCAGCGGCGGCGAACGTGGCGGCGAAGAAGAACAAGAAGATCCATAGTAGTAATAATTGTTGGTGGTGGTGGTGGAATTGTAGAAGTTGAAGTTGTAATAAGGAGATGATACCGTTGAAGAAGCAGAAGGAGGAGGAATTGATGATGAGGGGTTGAAGAAATGGTTCCTAGGGTTGAGGTAATTCAACCACTTATTATTATTATTATTATTATTATTGTTAAATCCTCCATTTCCATTGTTGTTATTGAAGTAATTCGAGTAGGGATCTGCCATTGATTGGTGGGAGAGGTGTAGAGAGAGAAAAATGATGAGAGAGAGATGGGTAGATATGAAAGCACGCAAGAACACCAGATCTGAGAGAGAGAGATGAGAATGAGATGATGGTACTGGAAAAAGTTGGAAACGTTAAAAAAGACTCAACATTGAGCTCAGCACCGCCACTCCACGATTATTTTTAATAATATATATATATATATATATATATATATATATATATATATATATATATATATATATATATATATATGTATATTATGGTGGTTAAAATTGAGTAAACATCATTTGAAACTGATTACTCCAAGCAGCATAGAAAAGGAGAGACAAGGGTGGTTTATTGGTGACGGAGAGTCAGTTGTTCCACCTGATTATTTATACTGAGTGGATTTTAATTGTGGATCTGATTAAATAACGATACACTAAGTACACATATATATATATATAATTGTGTACATGATGTGCAATTATGTGTACATCAATTTATCGTTGAAATTCACCTAATATAAGTCAATAACCATCTGTAACATCTAATTATCAATTAAGGACTAGCAATTGTTTGGTTTCGGGGGTATTGCAAAACCCGAACCCCGTCTCGTCATGGACCTGTCAATGTCTATAATATTCTTAATTATTCGTTTTTTTACAGGGGTGTTCTAGAATAAAAATAAGTGTTACCAATTATAATTATATCAATATATTATCATTTAACTTCTTAATTATTTGTAAAAAAATAATTATATTTTTATACTTTGATTAAAATAGAATAAATTAAACTAGAACTGTAATCCCTAAATTAGTTTGATTTTGTTCAAAACTAGATTTTATTTTTTTGAATTTTAGATGAGACACTAAGCGAGATTGGATTGGGGTTCAAATTGCCACGTACATTATGTATCGCAGTTACTGATTCTCCAATTTTCATCCGAGCTCCTCGAACTCATGGCCAATGTCACTATATTGTGCATAACATACATAGTTCTTATATTATGCTAAGGTCACTATATATATAACTACGGTTACCTATATTTACAAAATTTTATCACCAAGTGTTCCTGATTTCAAGAAATAGTAACATTTAATTGTTCACTTTATTTCTTATAACGAATTTGAGTTAATCGAACGTCCTACTAGCTCTTAACATTTTTAGTCAATAAACATTAAGAATTGTACAACTTGTCCCGGTGCAAATATCATGGATTACATACAAATTACATATGGGTCAAAAAATTTATTTGTTGCTATAAATTAAATTACTTCATTTAAATAAATTAAGTTGCATGTGTAGAAATACTTAAATCAAAATACATAAGTTGATTATCCACACCTGAATTAAGCTAGCTAATTCATTTATGGACATTGTTGAACTAATCTAAATAAAAAGTGAGAGAGACAAGACCTATTATAAAATTAAAGAATGCCTATAGGAAGTTTAAATTCAACAATTAATTAATTGTCTTTAAAAAATATTAAATTAATCATGAGAGAGAAAATTAAATGCCGTCTCGATTAATACTAGTAATTCCTAATTAACAAACTCATAATTAATCCCATATTTACATTGGAAAATTAGGGTTTGACTGCTCTCTGTGCTCATCTCTACCACTTCAAATTGTGGGGTGGTGGTGTAGGGTAATATATGTATATACATACATACACCAATAGATATATACAAACAGTAATTTGCATATAATTTGGATTATTAATTAATTTATTTATATATCGGGAAACAAATAGCAAAGAAAGGGATATATACCAGCAATTGCATTGATCTGCGAGCACTGGTCGGGGTACGAAGCAATTACAGACAACTGCCACCCCCACCCCCCCCCCCACCAATAACAATCTTGAACCCTACTTTTCTCAAACCCAAAAATCACCTTTCAAACACCTTATCTTTCTTAAATCCTTTTAACAACCCCC